TCATTACCACCAAACCAGTATTATATGAAATGCTGAAAGGTATCCTTTAAGAAGAAGAAGAAGAAGAAAAAGGTAAAGATACAAATTATGAACAACAAATACACATCTATCAACAAGTGAATCTAAAAATCAAGTGAATAAATAATCTGATGAACAGTATGAACTGGTGATTATAATAGAATCAGGGACATAGAAAGGGAATGGACTGACTATTCTTGGGGGGGAAAGGGGTGTGGGGGATGCGGGAAGAGATTGGACAATAATCGTGCACCTATGGATGAGGACAGTGGGTGGGGAGTGAGGGCGGAGGGAGGGGTGGGAACTGGGTGGAGGGGAGTTATGGTGGGAAAAAAGAGGAACCAATGTAATAATCTGAACAATAAAGATTTAATTAAAAAATAAATAAATAAATAAATGTACAAATCAAGCTATTAGACTGTAAAATAAAATAGGTTCTACCTTTCTATCTTGGCAAACATACCCCCATAATGCAGAAGGCCAGAGTTGGATTAAGAATTCCCAGAATCCCTGGAGTTCTGCTCCAGATGTGGTAGCATGGGAGAGCCATTCCAGTGCCTGGCCACCCTCTCGTTCACCCCTTGCTCGACTGGACATCATGAAGTGACACGTTTGTACATGTGTGGGCACCCCAACCCAAACATCCAACTTCATCCATCTTCTACCCAACCCTCACAAACAGCCTCCTCTTTACCACATCTTAGGCCTAGGGGTGTATACATCAAACCCAGAGACAAGGCCCACAGAGATTCTGGAAGCAGGCACAGAGCCATTTGGGCAGGAGATTCTGGAGTCCCCAGTACCCAAAGGATGTTCTAGAACAGTGGTTCTCAACCTTCCTAATGCCGTGACCCTTTAATACAGTTCCTCATGTTGTGGTGACCCCCAACCATAAAATTATTTTCGCTGCTACTTCATAACTGTAATTTTGCTACTGTTATGAATCGTAATGTAAATATCTGATATGCAGGATGTATTTTCATTGTTACAAATTGAACATAATTAAAGCATAGTGATTAATCACAAAAATAATATGTAATTATATATGTGTTTTCAATGGTCTTAGGCGACCCCTGTGAAAGGGGTCGAGACCCACAGGTTGAGAACTGCTGTTCTAGAAGGAAGGGTTGGCGTACCAGATGGTCATGTGTCCTTGTCTCCACAGACCCCTTGCTTGGTGCAGAAGGGCATGACAGAAGAGGGCCCTTTTGTGCAGGCAAGGGACCCATCTGTTACTGGGATCGAGTCCTGAGAAGGCATCCTGTGAAGAGCATGAGTGAGGGGCAGGGAGATCCTGCTTCCCTTGAAGCTGGGGTGGGACAGGGAAAGGCGGGTCCAGGTGGAGGCCCATTTTTTGATGAGGTGGCAGGAGGTTTATGTGAGCCTGATTTTATAAGTAAAGGTAGAGGGAGGATCACCTGCTAGGTGGAGGAAAGGGGGCAGAGATTTGGGAAGGGTCATAGGTAAGCTTGCAAAAGCCAACGTTTAACAGTAGCGTGAGAGAGGGGCTAAGAAGGCACCTGTGAGAAACATACTGGCAGTGCTGATGGCCTGCCATGGCTGCCTGTGTGCACTTGGGTGGGTTGGGCATAGCTCAATCCAGGAAGCAGTGTTGACATCAGCTACAGCATGATGGTAGCCCCTCGTGTTGGCATTGAGCCTCTTGCACACCCACACCTGGGGCCAGGCTCATGCAGTCTTCTCTCTGAATTTTGACCTCAACAGTTACTATTGCTTTGCAAAGTCTGAGTGAGAGAAACTAGTGTTAAGGACTCTCTTGCTTACTGGAATCACTTCTTAAACCCATGCCTGTTATGTAAACACTAAATTAACATTATGAATATGGACCCAAAATGCTGACAAAGGTCTTCCCAAATAATGGTGTCCTTACCTTTCATTCTGAGAGCCAAAATTTTGCTTCCAGGATGGTATTTTCCTCATCCTTGTTACCCACCTGGGGAACCCCCCTCCTAGCACTCTTTCCCTCCTCTCTTACCAGAGGCCCCACCCATTACTTAAAACGAATGACCATTTTAATACTTACTCATTGTGCATACCATAAAGAAACAGGAATAATTACTATAATTCTCCATTCTCTGAGATTCCCGCCCTATTTTGCTCTCCCCAAACCTCAAATTTGCTAATCTCCAGGCTGGGACAACACCTGCCTTCTTCAATGACCAGTCTGCTTCCATTTTTTCCTCCTGGGTCGTGGGTCCTAACTCGGCTGCTATGTTGTTGATTTGCCTTTGATTCTATTCACACATGACATTCTGTTTCCATCAGCTGTGCTTGTCCTTTGAGATGGTACTAGAGAAAGTCAGTCCAAAAGCTTCGGTGTCAGTTTTGTTGTGGAATAAAACAGGGGTGATATGGAGGCTTTGCTTTCTAAGCTCACAAAGAAATCCTCAAAAGACTCTGAGAATCTGAGACCTCCTCTAGAGCACCCTTCACTCCATGTCCCCACAAGACCTTGCTGGTCCTGCCCAGAGGCAGCTGAACAGACCAGTCCGGCTCCCAGAGTGCGCCCATCCCTGGGGACAGGGGTGGGGCAGAGGGAGGGTGACCCATTTTGAGCAAAAGGGATAGTGTCAGCCACCTTCTTTCCTGGTAGGACACCAGAGAGGCCAGCAGCCCGTGGGACACAAAAGCCCCACCCTCTGCCTTGTCCAAGGAAGCCGAGCTTGGTGACGAGGCTCTGCCTGCCATTGTTTGGAAAGGCAAGAAATGGAATGTGTGATTTTGCTCACAAAAGTTTTAGAAAAGTATTCATTCTATGAAGTCCCAAACTCCTTATGATGCCCTGTGACTGATCTCTTTATCTGTCCTTTTTAACTCTCACTGGGTCACTTGAATATTGAGTGGATTCTGACCAAGTCCACCTGCCCGGTTTCCATCCCACTTCTCTCAGGGCTCCTGGCGGGGCTGTGCCTCAGCCTGGCCTGGCGCCTGCCAGAGCTCCTCGGAGCCCAGCCCCTGGATCTGTGTGCAGAGTGGCTTCTGGCCTCTCACCTTAGCTTGTGTTCACTTTTGCAACTCTGACCTCGTGGTGGAGCTCTTTCTGAAGTGACCTATTTGGTTCTCCACCTGCCTACAGCAAGGAGCTGAACTGTCTGTAAGGACTGGGAATCCGAGCATTTGTACTCTGCTCAAAAACAAGGAGGTTCTCATAAGTGATGGCCGTGTCTATGGCATTTTTCCTACACTACGTGGCCCTGCACCAATAGGTAGTTTGAGTTATTGCCTTCTGATTTTCATTTTTGTCATTAAAGAGTTGGCTTTAGGTATCTCTCCCTTATATGTACTGAGTGGGTGTCTGTTTTTAATATGCTGTAGACAAAAGTGACAGATCCCCAAAGATATTAGAAGTATAGCTAAATCATCACAGGTGCCCAGGAGTGAGGCCCTGGGGGAACAGGGTTGGTGTTCAGGGTTTAGGGTATGTGTTTGGGCTTTGGGAGATTTTGTTGGGTGATCAAGGACTTTTTTTTTTTAACTCTTATTAGCCTTGGTTTTTTAATCTCTAAAATAAATTATCCAAACAGACTGAAGGAAAGGGTGTTGGGAGTCTGGGTGAAAAAGGTGAAGGGATAAAGCAAAAAAACCAAAAACATAGACACAGACAACAGTGTGGTGATTACCAGAGGAGGAGGACAGTGGGGGAGATGGAAAAGGGTAAAGGGGGATAAAGAGTGACAGAAGAAGACTTGACTTTGAGTAGTGAACACACAATACAATATACAGGTGATGTATTATGGAATTGTACACTTGAAACCTATATTATTTTATTAACTAGTCACCCCAATAAATTCAATAACAATTTAAAAACAAAACAAACAAACAAACAAAAACCTTCCGTGGCCTCCTCTCTGACTCAGAGTGGACATCAAAGCCCTTACAATGGCAACAAAGCCTCATCAGGGGCCAGTTTCTTTTCTGATCTTTGTCTTTGGTTCACAGACCTTGAATTTGATGCCATCTTCTGTGCGTATGTGAATCTGTGCACTCTTCCGGGGAGAGCCCACATGGCTGTCACCAGATTCTCAAAGGACTAAAATCTCCCCAAAGCTTAAGGATCCCTGCTTGGAGGAAGCCTCACACTTGAAAATGCAATTTTAAGAAGGGACTTGTTCACATTATAAAATAATTTGGAGAGGATTCTTTATTTGACTAAAGGAATCACTTAAAATGTCTGACAATATGGTGAAGTGGGTAAAATTAAGTACATGCACTGATTTTTATAGACTCTTTGTGACCCAAGTGTATCAGTTTTAAGGGGATTCAGAGTAAATCCCATCATAATAAAATCTATGTGTAACAAAAAGAAAAAAAGAAAAGAAAAGAGTTAACTATCTTGTTTACAGGAGTTTTCAGAGATTTTAAAAAAATAAATGTGTTAATGAAGTACTGTGCTGCAGTAAAAAAGAATGAATTCTTACCATTTGCAACAGCATGGATGGAACTGGAGAGCATTATGCTAAGTGAAATAAGCCATTCAGAGAAAGATAAATATCACATGATCTCACTCATTTATGGAATATAATGAACAACATATGCTGATGAACAAAAACAGATCCAGAGACAGAGAAGCATCAATCAGACCATCAAACCTCAGAGGGAAGGTAGGGGAGGGTGGGTGTAAGGGGGAGAGTTCAACCAAAGGACTTGTATGCATGCATATAAGCCTAACCAATGGACACAGACAACAAGGGGGTGAGGGCATGAGTGGGGGGGTTGAGGGGGTAATGGGGCAATAAGGATACATATGTAATAACTTAATAAAGAAATTTAAAAAATAAGTGTGTTTTTTAAAAGCATAGTTCACATACAAAGAGTACACAAATCATAAGTGTACCATCAGATGAATTTTACAAAGTAAGCGCATTGGTAACCCAGGTCAAGAAACAGAACGTCATCAGCACCTTAAAAGCCCCTGTTTTAAGCCCATTGCCAATCCTTTCTACTCCCCAAAGTTTACCACAGTCCTGGCTTCTAACACTAGAGATGCGTTCTGAAGTTTCTAAAATGCAGTCATGCACACTGTGTTCCTTTTGTGTCTCTCTTCTTCGGTGAGACTCAGCTTTGTGTCATGTAATACTGCTTCATTTTCATTGCTGTATAGTTTTTCACTGGGACAGTGTACCATAACGTGTCCATTCTTCTACTCAACATTCAGGTTGTCCCTGGGGTCTTTTGGCTCTGTTGAATTAAGTGGCATTGAAAATTTTACTATCTTTTGGTGCACATATGTACACACTTGTTGGGTAATACCAAGAATGGAATTGCTGGGTCATAGGCTATGGCTTACTAGATATTGCCAAAGTTTTGCTAAGTGATTGTGTCAATTCATCTTCCTACCAGCAGCAAATGAACGTTCCAAATATTCTAAATGATCAAGGAAATTTTCATTGAACTGTCTGGTGAATAATGTGTTTGCCAAATGAACGTCCCGAGCAAGCGGCGAGGCAGTGGACTATGGCAGAAATCATACCCACGTGAAACCCCAAGTGAAGCGTGCCCTCGTTCTGGAATGAAGTCCTCATTATAGAAACAGTGCTGATCTCCAAGAACACTTTCATCTCGGTCTTGGCTCATTTTGTGATTTTCATGAGAAGTGCTCCATTCATCACATACTTTCTGGTGTCTCCCTGTGCCAGGCGCAGGACCAGCTGTGGGTGACGCAAAACACCAAGCTGCACACACGTGTGCCGTGGATGCACTGCTTTCAGTGCTGAGATTGACGAGAGCAAGGACTCTGACCACCTAAAGGCTTAGGAAGAGGGCGTGGGAAATGAGTGAGCAAGATGTGCAAGAGGAGTTCTTGGCCCCAGAGTGGTGTTATTTTGTTCCAGGCAGCAAGGTTGAGCTGGCAGAACAGTCCTGATCCAAAAGGAGCCAAGGGCAAGGCAGTGCTCGGGCCACTGTGGGCAAGCCACCTCGCTGCTTGGCAACACACACCTACCGCCTCTGCCAACCTCCTCCCTGCAACACTCCACTACATCGAAGTCTGGGCTGGGCCTTGGGCGATAGAGCCTGTGACCTGTGCTCAGGCCCAAGCACAAAAGAGACTTGGAGAATGCAGATCTGGCATTTTCTTTAGAGAGAAGGGGACCCCAAAACCCAAGAAAGGGTTCAGATATTAGACCACTAGGGCTATGGTTGCTAATAACAAGAGCTAAGGCAATTACCATTTGTTCATCCTTGCTGGATTTTTATTTAAAACTACAACTAAAGTGCATCAAAACATTGTTCTATTCTTCATTGTTTTCTAGAGTTAAAGGTCTCAAGATTCACATCTTAGATCCACCTCACCCTAAAGGGCACAACTGTCACAAGTTCAGAAGTGACACACCTTCTTAAAACCATGCCAGGTATGCAGGAGGACTGGTCAAACGGAGGGGTGGACTCAACCAGCCACCGCAGCTCCCCATTATCTGAAGCAGCTAACAGGACCAGTGTTTGTTCCCAGACCTGGAATATAATGGCTCGTGATTCCTCAATTAAAGGTTTGTCTCCTTCAAAGACCTGACCGGGTACTTTTTCTCAGAACAATGGAAATCTCACTCCCACCTTCCCTGGTTTACAGCTGTGCACTAACCAATGAACACATGCCTTAATGATGACCCAGTGCCATCATCCTTAGCCCTCAGCCCTCCTGGCCACTCCCCTGTGGCTGGCCAGATGAGCTGGCTTTTTTACCGCTGAGTCCTCCTCACCTGGAAGATTGTGAAATAGCAGCTCTGCCCTTCCTCTTCCCATTCTCAACTTTCCCCCTTGTGTGCTAACTCTGGCAAAGTTGCCTCATTCTTTCATGAAATTTCTTCCCCCAACCCCTGCCACAGGACACGTACGCAATCAACTCGGTCTGAGAAGAGCCTTCAGCTTCATGTCCAGATGAAAGAGGAGGACAGACTTTTAAATGGGAGAATTCATTGAAAGAGAAGAGTTTTCAGTGGCCAGAGAGAGAGGTAACCTTTCCTTGCTGCTGAAGCAGACTGAGAGATGGAGGAGGAGGGAGAGCAAGGGGACCACCACACCCTGTCTTCCCTGAGATGCTGCCCTGAGCAGAGAGAAGGGGAGAGCTTGAGGATTAGAATGGGAGGAGGGTGATATTTTAAATTAAATGGCACTGGGTGTGTACAACTCTCAAAGTAAAAGTGAGGCTGAGATGTTGATGAGTCAGAAATGGCAATGCAACTTCAGTAAAATAAAGCCATTCCCTGTTTGCACCCCAGCGGCCAGCCTGCTCAATAGACCTACTCAATTTTCTTCAGCCCCAGGAGACTCTGCCTACCCCAAGGGATGCTTCTTACTCCGTGTTTATTCCAGACTATCTATGTCTGACCTAAGAGCACAGACTTTGGGAGGATAGAGTCAGTCTGACTTAGAGGTTACGCTACTCAACCGCCTGCTCATCCTTCCCAAGGGGAAATGAACCAGGGCCAACCCCAGCCCAGACAGGAGGCTGAAAAAATGGAAAACGCAGGAAGGAAAAAATGTGTAGAGACTATTCTTGCAAAACCTTCACCCAGATAAAGAGGTCAAAACCAAAAATAATCGGAGATCAGAATGGTAAAGAGGAGGGCTACTTGAGCCAGAAGGCAACATTAGCTTCTTCACATCCTCAGGTGAACAGGGGTCAGACAATTCCTTCAGCTCACATATGGCCTTAGACTAGTCAAGGCACATCTATCCAAGGCTTCGGTTTTCCTGACTGTCAAAATAGACACCAGCAGCTTGTTCCAGCAACCTCACACAAGTGGCATGGAGTCAAATGTGATTGCATGGCCTGAAATGAAACAGAAACTCTGAAAACTGCATACAGCCACTCTACCCAGAATATTCCCAGTTGTCATCTGCTAATTACTGAGGCCCCTCTGGAGACTGGTTACCTCTGTAATTCTCCTAAGGATATATTTAGGCTATTCTTGTTTTGTGACTATTTTGGGGACTGCAAAAAAAATAAACAAACAGTATTCTACTAAATTTAAGCATGCACAGCTTACCAACAAGTTGTGTTCCAAAAGCAGATTTGCAGGTAGGTTACAGATCCGTTTTACATAAAAACCATGCTAAAGGGAATCCGTTATACATATGCAAACCAGTAGAAAACAATAATGTTACAAAGCACGAAGCCAAACAGGAAAAATATATCTTAAGAGTAGCCAAGTAATAGTACATTCACCATTTGATACAGGTACTTTAAACTTCTCCATTAATGCTTGAATGCTGCTATTTCTTGCAGCTTGAAGACTTACGCTGGGCATAAAGCAAGTACAACAGGGGGGACGGGATGTGGAAAATTATAATGGAATTCCTGGCAAGTCAGAGCAACCCACACATTTCTCCTCTAGGACTTCCTGGAGCCAGTTTCCTCCCTACCTCTGTCCAGGGACCACCTTCTGGCTCCATGCCACCCATAACACATCCCCCCATGTGTCTCCCCCAACTCTAGCATGGAGGAGAGCCACACACAAGGTTCATGTTTAGGGGAAGGAGGGGCTGACCTTTCTACTTTAAAATTTACTAGCATAATCTAATTGCAAAAGAAGTCCTTAATTGCCCGGTTCTAAGACGGCCTGATCAGGTGTGCTGTGCCGGTAATGTGTCTGGACCAAGGGGTCTCGTGGGTCCATTTTAACTCCGTCTGTTTCTCTAAGTCTAGCATGGGTTTCCCCATCTAGGGCTGCAGACCACATGGCCAGGACAGGCTACATCATATGTGAGGCTCAATACAAAATGACAATGCAAGACCCTCTTGTTCAAAACTACTAAGACTTTAGTGACAGCAGAGTATTATATCAAACATTAGCCGCTTATGCATGGACCCTGTGTTTACTGCCCAGGTCGCAGACCACTGATGCCAGCCCTGAATGTGGCACCAACCAGCCTGGACGACCTTGACCCTCCTGGGTCATGTCCCAATTCCTGTGCAGATTTTCCAAGTGACTTCCTTTAGCCTCTTTCCATTGTGTGAACTGGGCAAAGAGCCCTTAAGAAAGGCGCCTCTGGTTCCTGGCCTCAAAGACTCCCTTTGCTTCCAAGGCCCCATATCTAGCTGGCCGAGCAGAGAGTGCTTTAACCCAGCACTTAGGTTCCACCTCTCATGTGGTCCTGTACAGAACTTCCCCTATTAAGAACTTTCAAAAATAGGAACATAGTGCTCCAGGCCAAAGGCAATAGACACAGGGCTGCAGTGGCCACGCTGGGCCCTTCCTGTTTCGACATCTGTTTTTCACTGGTCTACACCTTCCGTCGCTGGCTGCATCCGGGCCTTTCTTTAGGTCTTTAGCCTAAACCCCGTGTGATGATTAATTCTATGTGTCAGTTTGACTGGGCCATGGATGCCTAGATATTTGATCAATCATAATTCTGGGTGTGTCTGTGAGGGTGTTTCTGAGTAAGATTAACGTTTGAATCTGCAGACTGAGTAAAGCAGATAGCTCCTCCTCCCCCATGAGGGTGGGCATCATCCAATCAGTTGAAGGCCGGAAAAGAACAAAAAGGCTGACCCGCCAGTGACTAGGGGGAAAAAACCAACAACACCTGGGACATTGGTCTTCACCTGCCTTTGGACTCAAACAGAAACATCAGCTCTTGGGTCTCCAAACCTGCAGGCTTTCAGACTCCAGCTTCTACCATCAGACTGGCGCCTACACCATCCACTTTCCTGAGTCCCAGCTTGCTGAATGCAGATCTTGAGGCTTTTCAGCTCCATAACCTCAGGAGCCAATTCCTTATAATAAATCTGTCTATCATCTATCTAAAATAAATGTTTATTTTTTTATCTGTCAATAGTGTCAACCGATGGTCATTGGTACCAATTTAATGCCAACGGGAATGTCCAATTGTGGGTGCAGTAAAGAAGGAAACTATTTAGTGCCAACAGCTCAATGGTAACACAGGATGGCTATGAAAACAGCACTACTTTGGAACAGCTTGAGCATCTATAATAATAAAAGCTTAATATGCTAATTAGACCATATGTCCTTCCAGACGACCTTCTGGACGAAGCCAGGGCTTTGAGGGAAGCCCAGGTCCCAGGTACCTGCTGGTGGCCAGAGGGAAGCCTGGGTTCCTGGTCCCAGGGGGAAGCCGGTGCCGGCAGCCAGGGGAAGGAAGGCCTACTCTTGCAGAATTTCGTGCATCAGGCCTCTAGTAAGCTTAATAAAATATGTCTGGAAATTTCTCTGGGGTTCCTTTTTTTTAAAATATATTTTTATTGACTTCAGAGAGGAAGGGAGAGGGAGAGATAGAAATGTTAATGATGAGAGAGAATCATTCATTGGCTGCTTCCTGCATGCCCCCTACCAGGGATTGAGCCTGCAACCTAGACATGTGCCCTTGACTGGAATTGAACCCGGGACCCTTCAGTCCACAGGCCGACTCTCTATCCACTGAGTCAGACCAGCTAGGGCTGGGGTTCCCTTTTGATTTCTATCTTGGGGAACCTGAGAACCCTAATGCCAATATTAAAGAGATGCACCCTATGGAGGTGAAATCTTGCACATTTGATCATTTTGTTATCCATGTATTGAATGTTTATTGAACACCTAACACATGCCTGGTGGTGTGCTGGGGACTAGGAGTCAAGTCCTGATCCTGGTGCTCAGAGGGCTCTGGTCTGGAGCAGTGCAAGCATCAGAACATATCTGACCATCTTTTGGCTTAAATTCAAAAAGAAGAGAGATTAGTTGGAGAGCACCTTGGTGCTGAGACACATGTCCTAGAAATTATTTTCCTGAATAAATTCACTGTTACATTTTGACCTCTTCCACTTGCAGGAATTTATAATTTTCCAAGGCTATAAATTCATGTTTTCTTAAAGAGATTGATCTTTTGTTAAGAAAACAAGTAAGAATAAATAAATGGTATAATCATTTAACTCCATCAGAGGTAACAAAACTCTGTGCAGCCAGGTGCTAAGTACCGTATATTTCACCATCAGTACATCAGCCTTTGTAGTTGAAGGACAAAAGGCAGTGACCCCTGGCCTCCTCTGTAGGCTCAGTGACATCCTGCCTGGTCGCCAAGGGCCTGATTGTGGCTCCCTGGATGGATTCTGGCAAAAACATACCCAGTCATGGGTTATTGGATATTGAGTGCTTATTATATTTTAACACTTTATCCTTTTTAAACCTCTCAGCAACTCTGTAAGATAGAACAACTACTACTTTTTTACAGATGAGAAAACTGAAGCATCAAGAATTAAGTAACAAGAAATTAAAAAAAAAGAATTAAGTAACTTGCCAAGGTCTCACCTTGCTAGCAAGTAGCAGATCTGGGTCTTGAGCACAAGTGATCTGGTTTTTGTCTTTCACCGCTTTAGACCTGGCCTGGCAATAGCATGCTTGAGAGACTGTTTTATCTCCTTTCCTTTCCTCCTACTCTGTGTCCCCCTCAGCCCAGCAACGATTTCGGTGGTGACTGGCCTTATGTTCTTTTTGCTTTTAGAAGATTGGAAATACTTTTACCACATCTCTCTACTTCTTGTTTGGTTTATCTTTTCTAAAGCTGAAAACAAACGAGAGAGCCCGACCTACGTGCTCCAGGCGGCTTCTGAATGAGAGCCTTCCAGAACTGGGGGCCAGCACTTAGTTGACACCAGCCCAGATCCAGGCTGCCAGTGACTCTGGGGAGAATCTGAGAGGCTGACGGCACTCCTGTCCCAGGCCCCGGCAGCAGCCCTGACTGCCACAGCAGTCACTACTGGCTGAGTGAGTGAGGAACTGAATCCAAGACACAGAGAACAACCTCACCTGCCAGTTCAGTACCAGTCTTAGTGAGAGAATTAAAAAGAAAAAAAAAGATGATGAAAAAGAGAAAAACCTGGAGGGAGCTCTCGCTACCTAGATAGGGTCCTGAACTCCTCCTCTCCCTTCCTTTCCTCCTCCCTTTATGAGGACCCATCCCCCCCCTCTCCTTCCCAGCCCTACACCTCCCTCCTCTCCCCCTTTCC